ATGTGATGGCGTTCCTCTTTCTCGCGACTCACCGTCTGGATCCGGTTCACTTCCCTGCCGGCGTTGCCTGTTTCCGCCTTGAGGTGGTTCCGAGGAAGTTCGCTGACGTTCACCCGATGTAGTAGCGTCATCCGATAATCCGCTACCCTCGCGAGCAGATGGTCTGCGCCGCCTTGGCGTTCCTAGTGATTGGCTTCTTTCCCCGGGTCTTACTTGAGGGCTCGTCCGACTGGTGGCGTGTGCTGTTGTGGATGGGTTTCTCGGGGACAACAATCCTCCTTCCTCCTCTGGGCCGCTTCCCATGTCAAAGCCCGGGTCGATGCCAACTCCCGTCACCCTTCGTGGGGCCACGACAGTCGGGGTCNTCTCATTGGTGGGGTGGGACATGGTGTTCATCCCAGTCGTCGTGGCGCCGAGCCACCCCCCCTACCCGCGGGAATGGCGGCAGAGGTTGGCCGGGGTTGCGTAGGGCGTTCTGTATTGCTACGGTGTATAATGTGAAATGCGATTCGCACTCCTGGTCCAGGTGCACCAGGTATTCCTGTACGTGTGGCGCAATGTAGATTCTGCCCCGGGGGAGCCGCAATAGCACCTGATACGGCCGTATTCCATGGGCGTAAAATGTAGAGCGGTATCTCTGGACCAACCGGTCCCACCCGTTGTCCTCGTTGCGGCCCCGAGGGAAGTATATGTAAACGCTTCTGTCCATCCCGAATACGTCGCAGAACAGAGTGACCAGGAGCCAGGAAGCCGTCTCACTTCTCCTGTGGGCCCGCACAACACTGTCAAAGGAGTCGAAATGCCCCGCCGGGTCCGTGCCGGATTCGGACATAGATCATGTCTCGAAATGTCCCTCTATCTCGGATGCGAAAGACATTGCCTCCCTCAGGAAGTCCCACCGTCCCCCGGCGTGCGGCAGATCGTGGTTCTGGACAAGTTCCGCGGGACGAGGAGGTCGTCGTCCGTTCGATCCTTCCTGCGAGCAGTTGGCACATGGTCGTGGATCCACGCGTCCGTGTGCTATCTGGTCGGCTCTGTCCCACAGGCAGTTGGCGTGCACCGACCCGTGGTGTCCACACGGGATCTGGATAGGCTCGAGTCCCTCGGCGTGTGGTGGTGGCTCAAAGTGGCCTTCACAGTACGAACACGATCCGGTGCTACCGCCTCCGTTCGCGCCGGTGAGTTGGGGCCGTGTGTCGGGGACGGAACGTCGCGTTTCACCTGCTCGATCAAGCTCGCGCAATCTCTCACGAGCTGCNATTATTATTATTATTATTATTATTATTATTTTGTTTGCCCTCCGACAATTGCAGATAAATGCAGAGATACATAGAAAGTCGATCGTAAAGGCCGTCATGCCAAGCCAAATTAACTCGATGCCCAAAAGCTAGGAATGTTTGTCTCTAAGTCAACAAAACTTTGGTTGAAACACTACTACAGCTGAACTCTAGGCACGAACCTTAGGCATAGTCTATTATAGACTATGTAGTCTACTACTACTGCTGTAGTAGATAGGCCATTCTAATCAAAATCCTGCCGCTGCGCCGAACCTCGCTTGCTTCCGGATCGACCACAGCAGACCTGCTGCTGCTGCCTATGGCACAGCACGGCGTGCTTCCACGTACGTACGTACGCACGCATCGCGTGTATATTTACCAATCACTTCTGGATGTCTGCGCGCGTTTCTTGAATAAAGTACAGAGTAAGTCGCATGTACTGCTCTGTCTGTCGTAGGCGAACAATAAACGACAAGACGGTTGGTTCTCGTTTCGAAACCAGCCGCGGAGGGAAATAATAACGGTCCAACCAGCCCCGAATTCAGATGTGCTTTCTGTATATGGTCCGTTCGGGCAAATACTCACAATATTATCCCCTGCACAAAGGTGCACTTTTCTCGGGGTGGGGGGACTTATTCCGAAATCTGAAAATACCGCGTAAATCGACGTTTCAAGGCGCATCTTCGTACGGAG